CTCTCTCTCACAAGGAATGCTAAATATTTTGTTAAAAATTAAAATCATAATAAATTTTGATTTCTAGAATTTTCCAATCTTAAATTCATGATCAGTCAATAGTAAGTCATCTTTTGTTTGTAAAAAAGAAAATTTATATAAATTATTATAATGAATTAATAAAATCATATTAATTAAAATTAGTTAAAAGTTTAAATATAAAATCAATTAAATTATTATTAAATAAATAAAAATAAATTTTGTATTGTATTGTAAGAATATTTTCATAATTTTATTTAAATTATTTATTACTTTCCATAAAAATAGACAATAAAAAATTTTGAGATTCGAGAACTCGAAATCTTTTAAGGTATCCTTTCGAGATTTTAATCACATTTCTAGTAAATATATTGAAAACAATATTTGTACTTAGCCTCTTTCTATTTCTATTTAAATTTTTAATAACATTAAATTTTAATTATTTTTTCTTTGTTATATACTTTATTATTATTTTTTATTATTTTTTTTATAGTACAAATATTATATGAACATATTTGTTAATGTTCATTTAAATGAAATATGTGTATTTTTATTTTGAAATTAATTAAAAATAGTATTGTTTTAAATTGAAATATAATAACTTAAATATTATTAGCAATGGGTAAGTATAAAAATTTTAAAACAAAATGAAAGATAAAGGTTAAAATAAAAGAATTATATATATATTTTTTTAATTTTTTAGACGATATTGAACAACAATGTGAAGATGCAGTTTTTGAAGTCTGTGATGCTCGAGAACGATATCCATCACGATGTGCAGATGAACTTCAGAAATCTATTAAACTAAAAAGTGATATGAACGTAATAAATGATTATAATAAATTCTATAGTATTTTTATATGTAATAAATTTATTATTACATTATTATAATTTATTATTCATTATATTTATTTATTTTTTTAGTTTTTTAAATTTTGTCTCATTTATTAAAACATTATTATAATTATCAAACATATATATAAATATATTTTGCAGATGCTGAAGAAATTTCAAAAATCAATTATAAATGATCTACCTGTTTTACAGCAAGACAAATATATGAGAGAAAATCTTAATTTTAATAAAAATAAAATATGTTTTGATTATTTAGATTCTAAATTGCAAAATACTATAAATAAATTGAATAATTTAAAAGCTATTATGGATCAAATTGAACGAGAAAAGACATGTTGTATTAACAAGTTATTAGAACATTAAATTGATATACAACAAATTATTTTAAATAATATACATTTATTTATTATTTATATTTATTAAATGAAATACATGTACAAAAAATTCTAAATATACTGTAAAATTTTAAAATTATAAATTAAAATATTTTAAAGTTTTTTATATTTCTATTTTTAAAAATTATTTTACTAACATTATATTAATATTTTACTAACATTTTATATTTAAACTATGAATATTTATTTATATTTATGCGCCTTATAACAACCTTGGCACCTCTTGTAATATCTTGAAAAAATTTAACCATTTGTATATGCATTTCATCATTATGAGCATCATTTAATATTAATGATTTCCTTCTTGATCTGAGATACTTTTGATTTGTTAAATTTTTCTTTTTTTGCAAATATGAAAGATCTTTATAAAATTCTTGTGTTATATCCTTTATTTTGACTAATGGCAATTTTGTTTTATCAATGCAATTTTTTTGTTCTTTTAATTCTTTTTTTACATTATTTTTTACAATATCAGAATATTTTATTTCTTTCATTTCCTTTTTTAATATTGGAGATAAAGTATTTTTATCATATACTTCTTTATTATCTTTTTTTATAGATTTTTGATGTTTCGGTAATGTTAATATATTACTATTTGCACTTCGATTTTCTTCTTCTATATTAGAAATATTATTTTTTACTTGACATAATTGTATATTGCAACTCTCAATATTGTCTTCATTTATTTTATTTTCATTATTTAAGCAATTTTGTTTCATTGGTAATCTATTTTTTAATATTTTCTGTAAAGGTAAAGGTATTTGGTCCAGAGTAATAATTTGATTTGAAATAATTACTGGAACACTTAATTTGCGTGTATCTTTATATGTAGATTCATAGATTGTATTATTACATAATTTTTGTGTTTCACTTAGAATAGAGTTTACAGAAGAACTGTAATCTGAATAATCATTCTTTAAATATATTTTAGAATGTGAACTTTTATTAAAATGAGAATTTTTATTAAATTCATTCTTGCCTATTTCAGATTTCAATTCTTCATTGTCAATATCATCCATTAATAAATCCTTATTTGACATTAATTGTAATTTATCTTCACATTTATTTAATTTAAGAGATAAATCAGAAGGTTGAAAAATTGCATCTTGTAATGCTTCAGGTATTATGTCTTCTTCTTCTTCCTCTTTTTCTTCTTTATATTTTAAATTCTTATTTACAATAAAATTTATATCTTCTTTGCATTTATAATCATCATATGTTTTAGTATAGCAATATTTATTTGTAATACCTAAACTATTATCATTGTATGAAAAACTAGTACTAGCTAAAATAGAATTATTACAAGTATTCCATTTTGTATGTTCTACTTCAGATGCAATATTTTGTTTATTAATTTTATTATTTATTAAGGGATATTTTGTATTATTAAATATGTGTTTATTTATAGATTTATTTCTTAAAGTATATTCTTGATTAATTACGTTTTGATATTTATTTTCGGATTCATTTTTTTTTGGTAATTCGATCATCGTTATTAAATTTTCTAAACCAAGCAAACTAGAATTTCGTAAACATTTTTCACCTTTTTTTGTTTCAATTTTTTCAGAATTTTCTAATACCTCATCTACCTCTAATTTAGTTTTTTGTTCTATAACTGCTACAGCATCTTTCCCTTGACGAATTGTAAACATTAATCCTTCCATTACTAAATCTGTAATATCAGAAGATCGTGATTCATTATTTAATGCATATTTTCTTCTTTTAGGACGAGATGACTCTTGCATTTTGATAATATTTGTAGGTACTTGTATGTAATTTGTGGTATTTTTTTCATTTACTTCTTCTAATCCATATTTTTTAATATTTCGTTTTGCATTTTCTATTTCTTTTTCTATTAAATATTGATATGGTAAATTTGCAGAATCTGCATTAATGTCATCAAGAGTGCTATTATTATTTAAAACTTTAGTATTATTTATAAAATCATCTTTATATTCAATAAAATTTTTTTGAATATTATCTTCATTTATTTTATCATCTGATAATTCATTGTTTTTTCTATCAATTTTTTCTAATGATAATTGATGTATAATATTATTATCCTGTAAGTTAATATTATATATTAATATTTTTTTTTTATTCTAACATTCAATATTATTACTTTCATGATAGACATACCTTAAATGATATATTTTGATTTTTATAAAATTGATTTGTATCTTTGCGGTTCATTATTTGTTCTTTCGATTCTTCATTCACTGATAATTTTTTAAAATTATCATTTACCATATTATTATTTAATTGAAAAATATTTTCATACTGATTATTTTTTTCTGAATAATCATTTTCAGAGGAATGTATTGAATATTTTTTATCTTTTTTCTCATTTTTATTTTTATATGTATGTGTATTATTTGAATTTTCGTTTTGATATATTAAAGTATCATCTGAAGGAGAAGATGTTATTTTACATAAATTCTGTTCCATTTCTACAGAATGAAACAGTTTTATAGTTAATATAAATGCATGAGAAAATGCTACAAGAGATCGTTTTTTCAATTTCATCATTGCAAATATTTTATCTTGTCTAGTCCATGATGTACGATCTATTTATTATGAAATTTAATTAAGAAAATTTTAATAACGAATACAAAATATTTAAAATTACAAGTTAAAAATTAAATTAATTTTGGAAGTATTTTTTATTTTATTATTAAAAAAAAAAGGATACTGAAAGTAACTAATAGATTTCTTGTACAAAATTGTTGTTTTCGAGGAGGTTGATTTTTTATAATTCTTCTAATAATTTTCATTAATTCTTTTTCAAAATTAAATTGCTTTTCATTTCTACAAATATATACATTAAGAATATATTTAATTAATGATTACTATATAATACATTCAATTAAAATTCTAATACTAAATCAATAATATTCAATATATTTAATATTAATAATATTTACCTAGTCGTACGGTGATACTTAAAAACAAATTTATATATATTGTTCTTATGACACAACCAATATGAACCAGGTACTGTTAAAGTTAAACTTTCTTTTTTTTGGGTCCAATCAATCCAGCTAGTTTTTCGTACATATATTCCAGGCATTTTCTTTCAGGTATTAAGTTTTGAAATAAAGGAACTAATTTTATTGAATCTTTTTCATTAAATGTATCTCTTATTATAATGGTAAGATAATATAATACCTTTTGCTAAATATATAAGTATAATATGTCAATATATTTCAAATATATCTATATATCAAATAGTAAATATTTAAAAAATTATCTCTATCATAAATTTTTAATATTTACCCCTATTATAACTTCATTAATAAATATATCCACAACTGTATCCCAAGGAATAAATTCACAAGAATTGAGACCATAAAATGTTCTTTTTCCTTCAATATATATTCCAACAGATTCTACCACTATTAATGTATCTATAAATAATATACAAAAATTAACACAAATCTAAAAGTTCATGATAATTAATTAACAAACCTTTGTTTACAGAAGTAATAAAAGAAATAAATTGTAATATTAATATTAGTACACATCCAATAAATGGTATGAAAATATTAAATGTCTTCCATAAAACTATTGTTCCAAGTAATACAAGAAGAGTTATATTCACATTCAAATGTATATTTTTATATAAAACAAATTTCATAACATTTTTAGTTTTGACACTTTTATCAATAAGCTTCAATTTATTTCCATTTACAGTTCGAAAAAATAATTCAGTTGAAGATACATTTTTAGAAAATATAGGCGACATTAATGGTAATTTTCCACTTTTTATATTAACACAGAAATTTTATTGATGATTTTCTCTAAAGAAAAAAAAAGATATTTTTAAATTATATTTTATTAAAATAATCATTTTTAAAATTTCAAATAATGCACAATTTATTATAAATTTAATATATTATAAAAGTAATGAAAAAGTTTTTAAAAATATTAAAATATAAATGCATATATAATTATGACATATATATGTATAAAATCTCACCTTATATTTATGAATAAAAATCATACATAAATTTATACTAATTTATATAAATATTTATCTATAAATAAATATAATTTAACATTAAAAATATAGTTTAACATTTAATTCGCATTAAAAAAAATTAAATCTATTTTAATAAAGAAAAAGCTGTTTAAATAATTTTAAACTTGAAAAAATTGATAATTAAAAACAGATAATTGAAAATGCAATATAATGTATAATATAGATTTTTTTTTTACAACATATTTATATATATTTAAAAAAATAATAATAACAATAAAAACATTATTAACTCTGATTGGCTAAAATAATAATTCTCATTAAATATTTAAATATAATCAATTTTATATATATATATATATATAATTTAAAAAAATTTATTTTTATTAATTTAAAAATATATATATCTATATATGTTAGAAATTATTAACTTACATTGTTACATCAGATTAATATTTTGTAAAAGAAATATTTATTTTTATCTGAAAATAGATAATTTATTACAAATAATATAGACGAAAATTTTTTGGTATTTAAATAACGAACAGTTTTCTCTATATGTGTATAAATATATACACATAGATAACTTGTACATAACCTACTCACTTATTATATTGATTATACTTAGAAACAATCTGGAAAGTATATTCTAAAGTCGTGACTTCAGATACATGTACAATGATATATATTTCTAAAATATTCAATATAATTTTTAATTTTTAGAAACAATTAATATATTTATTCATTTGTAGAGAATTTTTAGTACTATATTTATTTGTAATATAAAAAATTGTAAAATGTATTGAAAAGAAGAATAAAAATTTAAAAAATTATAAAAAAATAAAAAGAAAGAAAATGATCTTTAAAGATAAATGCGCAGACGTGGTTTTGCACTGAATCGCTCGTGTCCCGTCAAATAGAGGGAGTGAAACAGCACCTGCTGCCATTCTGGCATTACGTCAATGGTAGACATTTCATTTGCTGGTTGGGGAGGAGTTACCGTGACCGCCATTGTTACAGATTTTTCATATTAAAGAACGTGATCTGTGAATTTATATTGTCATATTATTAATTTCATCGAATTGTGTTTATTTTTTAGATTTCCGCAACAACAGTACATATATTAGTAAGAGTGTTCTTAAGCATAGCATGTCCACTATGAATCCCGAGTAGTGAGTAAACTTTTTTTTGCGCAGACATAAGTGTATCTAAGAATGTTCATTTCGTGAAAATATCACATAATCAATTATTTATAATTCTAACAATTGAACTGAATCAAAGAGATCGACTTAATATTATTTATACATTATATAGCTGAATTAATGTGATAAAGTTTTGTTTAACGTTTACTATCTGACAGATTCACCTTTTCCCCCTCCCTTGCTTCATATTCGTAAGCCATATTTTAGAAATTCATTTTCTATTGTACTTATTTTTAATTTTTTCAGTTTGTTCTGTATATTTTCTTTTTATTAATTCATTGATTGCTTATTTAAAACTTAAAAATTTTAAATTAAGAAATTATACTAATATAATTTAAGATTCATCTTAGTAAATGTTATAAAAAAATATAAGACAAAATTTGTTTTATTAAACATTTTTATTTGTCAAA